ACGGTGTTAGTACAGAGAATGAAGATGAAAGGAAGGCAGGAAGGGAAGGGGAGGAGAGGGAAGAATTTAATAATGATGTTAGTGGACCCAGTCTCGAGAAGGATAAGGTACCCTGCACTCTGGACTGGAAGTTCTAGGACAAAAGTTAGAAAGAGGGCTGGGGGTGTGGCTCAGTGGTAAAGTGCTTGTCTGGCAAATGCAAGGCCCTGGGTTCAATCCCCAGCACTGTTTCCCCAACCCCCCAAAAAAATGTAGGAAAGAAAGTAAGTCCTTGTCCTAACCCTTTCATTTCACAGATGTAAAAACTATGACTCAGAAAGACGAGGGTTTTTTTTTGTTTTTTGTTTTTGCTCTGGGGATTTATTGAGCTGACCAGTAGAAACCAGGCATTTAATATCCGCTCTTTCTTGTGTATGAAATTGCTACACAGGTACTTGCAATACTTCAACTCCTCCCTTCTAAGGAGTAATTTACCTAAGTCCGCTTTTAACAAGAGAGGTTGATCAATACTGGCCCAAGTCGTACCCTTTTCTCAGTGACACTCTCCTCCTCTGCTTAAGGACAGTGGCCTTGCAGCTCACCAAGGGATCCAGCTCACCTCCTCTTGAATGACTGGCCTGAGACAAGTGTCTTATGTGATGGCCAACTGCCCTAGACAGATTGCACGTGGACAGAGGGGCTTCCCAGGTTGCCAGACATCCAGAGCTAAAATCAGAGAAATCTGGGCCCATCGGGACACCTTGGAAGGAACAGACCTATGGCCTGTGGGGCAGGCTCAGAAGTGTAGCATGGACAATAGAGGCTCAGTTAGATCAGGCAAGCAAAACACATGGAAGCTGTTGTCTGAAGTAGAAGGATTGTGGTGTGAGAAACAGGCTAGGCATGTTAAGGAGAAGCGGTGCTGCCCTGTATTAGCAAAACTTAGGAGCAGAAATTTGGAGTAAGACGTGGACTTGGATGACCAAGAAGAGAACAAAGGCCCTGTCTTTGTTCAGAGTAGCAGAGAGGTCCCCTGAAGAGGTGACCAAGAACTGTTAAGATAAAGTCCTCCTGCAGTCCTCCTTGCACTGTGGCCTCAGCCTTCCCCCGTGGTCTGTGTGTCTCACTTACACCAGCTGCCCTCACCGGTTTCTTCCCGTATACCAAAATGATGCCAACCAGCATAATTATATTTTAGGAAAATTGGTTTTCAGTAGCTTCTTCCTAAAAACCTCCATGGCCAATTTCTGATCCTCACAGACACTCTTTCCAGATGTTTCCATTTGCTTCCTCCTCTGCTTTCACTGCCAAGGAGAAGGTCAGAGCAGAAGAAGGCTCTTCTCTTCTGGAATAAAGCTAGTTCTCTTGAAACCAATGCTTTTTATTTTCCCAATTAAAAAGAAATGGGCAAAATTCCAGTGAGCTTAGGAATGTTAAGTTGGAAAACCCAAGAATGACCCTCAGTGATTCATTTCCACTTCCCATTTGTTGGAGGCTGTGAAGCTCTTACTTCGCCAAAGCTGGTGCAGCAGAGTGTTCTTTCCAAAGGTAGCTGCAACACTGCCATTCTACATTCTCTTCTGACTTTTGACTCTGCTCTTAGTAAGAGGGGGCATGGGTGTGGGGTACCTCTCCTGCCTTTGAAGCTGGTTGGGGTTTTTTGTGACTGTTTCAGAGTACCAGTGTGCAGCACTGTGTGATCACCGAGTCTAAGTCATAAAATACCCTTCTGATTGTTTCCTAGAACACAAACTTTGGAAGCCTTTGGTTGTCATGTGAGCAGTCTGCCTGCCCTTGGCCACCCTGCTGTGAGGAAGTCCCAGCTGTCACATCTGGAGAAACTCCCTGAAGGGCACCAGTGCTCTCTGATATTCCCCAAAACCTGTTCTTGTCTCCTTACAGTAAATTTGTTCATCTCTGTTCCATGCACTACCTGTTGATTTTGTGTGATGGGCTTGGGCTTTTGTTGGTAGTGGTGATGCTACTTGTTTGTTGGCTTGTTTGCTTTCTGCTTTTTGTTTTGTCATTTATTTTGTTTTGCTTTTAGAGAGGGCTCTTGCTAAGTTGCCTCCTAGGCTGTGACTGAACTTTCATTCAGTCCTTTTGTCTCAACCTCCCAGAGTGCTGGGATTGCAGGTATGCACCACCATATCTGGCTGTGTTGATACTTTTTAGGTTTAAGTCTTGTTTTCTTGTCCATGTATTTCTGTATTTCTCAAAGGAGGCCATATTACACCACAAGCATTGGTAACAAAACCATTAAGTGTTACCTACCGCAACCACCAATAGGACAGGCTACTAGGACATAGCCGTAGAAATGATTGGCCCCCTTAGACTTAAGTTAGCTCCATCTTCAGAGTGAAAATGCCACAGTCTAGGGTCCACATTAAAGTACCTCTCCCAGGTGGTCACAACCACTATGCAGTTGGGTGTGTTAGTAATTTTCCATCACTGTGACAAAATACCTGAGATAATCAGCTTAAAGGGAGTAAAGACTTCTAGCTCATGGTGTCAGTCCAGGGTCACTTGGCCGCATTGCTCTTGAGCCTTTGGCAGGAAAAGACATCACGGTGGAAGTGCATGATGGAGAAGCTGCTCGACTCATGGCAGCCAAAAAGCAAAGAGAAAGACAGGAAGCATCCAGGGTATCAAGGGCTTGTCTCCAAGGACCTAACATCCCAGCCCCAGGCCTCACCTTCTCTATAATCCCATGGAAAAGTTATTGGAATCCTAGCAAGTTAATTCCAATCTACCACTCCCAGGGCAACTCATGGCATAAATGAAGACACAATTATATATCCAAAATGGGGGGAAGCCAAGGGGTCCTAGGTCCAGTTAGGATGATGGTTAACCGGAACAGACGCCCTGACCCAGGGCTGAACCCAGGTTTTATTATGAAGAAAGGAGTGGCTGGAGGACGAGTGACTGTGAGAATGGTAGGAAGTAGGTGAGCGCTGTGAACTGGGCTGTGTAGGAGGCCTAAGATCCCCTCTGTAATATGCAGAGAGAAGGATACGCAGAAGGTGTAATCGGCATTATGCAACTGAGGTAGTATCTGATGTTTTGGGGTCAGTGCTTCAGCTCTAATGTGTAATCTTTTATGCCGTGGGAAGTCACAGCTTTTTATCTCCAGGCTGATCCCAGGTGACAGCACAAAGCACAGTTCTGATCCTGCCCTGCCAGCATGTTTCTGGAGGGGCACTAAGGTAGCCAGGGGGAGAACACTACAATTTGTGTTGCTCAAAGCTAGTGGAAGAGATAAAGAAAAGTCCTAGCCAGCTCTGTCCATATCAATACAAGGAAATAGGACCAGGTTAGCTAAAATGAGGATAATTGCTCTTCTTTCAAGGAGAGTCAACCAGATGGTCTTCCACACCTTCCAACAGTAGCACAGGCCAGCAAACAACCTTCAACTCTTGGCCTTTGGGGACCAACACGCAACACTTGGACAGAAGCCGTTGAGTGCATGGGCCACACTTCCTCAAGGAGGCCCACTGCCCTCGTCCTCACAGCCCAGGTGCATCCCACACCCCGTGGGCCAGGGCCGGAGCCCACCAGCCGTCTCTGTCCTATGTGGGCACTGAGATGATGCCTTGCGTGTAGGAGCCCAATAAATGCTTATGAAATACAACTTGCTCCACCTTCGCTACTCTCTTCCCAACAGAAATGAATCCAACTGAACTGAAAAGTGCTTGTTAGCCATAATGACTGCAGGCCACGTGACCTTTCCCCTGCAATACAAAGAACAGCAACAATCAACTAAAAGGTCTTGAAAAGGGCTGTGAACATAAGAAGGCGGGTGACTCATCCAGAGGGCCCCATGCGTTTCTCCACAGAGGGGTCTGTGACCTCAGCTGTCCACCTCTTGGTGTGCTGTTACATTTCCTTCTGTGTATCATTCTCTGCTGCGCTACTTTTTTCCCACTCTTTTCCTCTCTCCAGACTGCAGCTCCTCCTTCTCTCAGCCAATTCCATCCATTTCTTGGTTCCTTCCTGCCCCACATTCTCTCCACTGCATGCACCATAACCAGAAGTCTGTCTGGATTACCTCCACATACAAGAGGTTTGTGTCTTCTGTTCTTTCTCATGATGTGTGATGACAGTGGGTGGCATTGGGGTCCCATGAGGAGCTCCCACTGGGGAGCTCAAAGCATCCTGTCCCACGGCTTTGCCTTTCTTCTCTCCTCTCCTCACATTCTCAGAGTTTCACTTTACACATGGTTGCCAATCTCAGCCCCTCCTTTCTTGATTTCTTAGTGATTCTGTCATCTCCTTCCTCACCTCTCTACTCAGCCTACTAGAACACTCAGATCTCTAGACCAGAAAACCTGTCTTCCTCAGCCATCTTGACATTGCACCACACTTCTCAGCAAATTCTTTGTGCCTGTTCCTTGATGGCCTTTCTTCCTAGGCAATCTCTAAGCCCTTCCCTTCTGTCTTCCTGGCCCTTGGAATGACTCGCTCTGTTCCTCAAGGCTCACCAAGTGGCTGGAACCTCAGGGTCCTTAACCTCAGGGCATTTGTGTGACACCTCTTGCAGGCTGCCCCACGTGAACTCAGCTCCCTCACCTTCAGTGTCTCCTCATCCTCAACCTCCCTGCTTCTCTCCTTGCCCCAGGAGGCACATACCCTCCTTTTCACTGGCTGCCCTTCCCTACCTGCTTCACAAGACTCTCCTGGACCTCAGATACTGCCCACTTTAGCTCCAAGACACCAGCTGGCCAAGACTTGAGGCAGAGTCTCCATTAGCCATGAACCTAGGTTCTTTGGGGAGACAGATTTGCATGTGTGTGTGGTCTTTGTAAAGCACCTGTGTGAGCTCTGTCTAAAGGGTTGCCTGGGCCCTGTATGACCCTTGTGTTTGCTATGAGACTTTTAGCTTGGCTGGCAAAATTCAGCTAAAAGAGTCTTACACAGGCATAGAGGGTTCAGGAAGTCCAGAGAGAATGACGGGTTAACCATTCACTTTCCCCTGAAGGACAGCAGGAAGTGCCCCAAGCACACAGCCTACTGTTCCTGACCCAACATGGCAAGGTACTCCCTGTCCCGGTGACCAGCAAAGGCGGACAGGCCGCCAACCAGCCAGGATGTTCTATTACAGGAAAACATTACTGCTGTCATTCCCAATGCTGGTTGTCCCTGGAAGCCCCTTCACAAAAGTGTCTGAGAGAATCAGGAAGCCTCTAGCCATGTCTTCAGAAGTGCCATCTTCCAGGAAGGGGTAAGCCTTAACACCTCAACAGTTCCCTCCTCCAGTTCTCATGATTGGTATGGAAGGTTGTGAGAAAATATCTTCTGAAAAATCAGAAGAGGTGAAAGTGTAGTGAAACTCTATCTGCCACTTTCTTCAGCAGTTGTAATATTTGCCAGCTTTATTCACTTCTCTATGTATATTTGTGTCCGGATTCTTGGTGTTATACCATTTTTGTTTTATGAAACCATTTAAAAGTAAGTTCCAATCATCTTGGTATTTCATCCCTTAGAACAACAAGTTAGATGGTTTTATTTAACCCCACTATTATTATACCTAACAAGATTAGCAATAATTCATATTATTTAATAGCCAAGCCATATTTAAAATTGCCTAGTCATTCTAAAAATATCTTTTATAGCTTTGTTTTTGCCAAATCAACATCCAGTTGAAGATCACACATTGCATTTGGCTGCTATTTCTCTTTTGTCTATTTTTAATTAAGTAAGTTTAGGTGGAGTACAATGAATTCATTTTAAATTTATCATTTAATGAGATGTGTTTAATGTATCTGCCCTTATATAACTACTACTTCAATCAAAGTTTGGAATAATTTCACTCATTCTCATCTCAAGCCTCTTACTCCCCAGGCCTCCCCCGAAACCCACCCCGATCAACCACAGATCTGATTTTTACCACCATAGCTTCACCAGCTCAGAAACTCTATAAATATAAGAACACAGCTTCAAACTTTCTGCACCTTGTTTCTTTCACTCAGTATATATGTATTTGTTTCAGTATATATTTTTGAGAGTCATCCATGTTGTTGTACATGTGAGGAGCTTCTTTCTGTTGCTGAGTAGAGAGTCCTTGTATAAACATACCACAGTTTGGGGCAGGGGAGATGGCTCAGTGGAATAAGCGCTTCCCTGGCAAGCGCAAGGACCTGAGTTCAATCCCCGGTTCCGCAAAAAAATAAAATAAAATAAACATACCACAGTTTGCTTTTCTACTCCCACAATGGACACCGGGATTGCTTCCAAGGTTATGTTATTACAGTGAAAAAGCTTTGATGAAAATTCTTGCACAACTCTTTTTGTAAACACATGTTTTCATTTCTCTTGGAAAAATCCCCAAGTAGGTTTTCTGGGTCACAGAGGTATATATTTAACTTTATAAGGAGTGGCCAAAGTGTTTCTACAGTGTTTATAATTTTTCATGTGCCCATAAGCACTATATGAGTTTCAGCTTCCCCATACCCTCACCAATGCTTGATAGGACAGAGCCGTTCCTTCTCGCCCGCTGTGTAGACAGATAGTGTCTCTCTGTGGTTCTAATTTACATGCTTCCCATGACTGGAGATTACATCCATGAGATGCTCTTTCACTTGCCTACTGGTCATCTGTGTTTGTATTCTTTTTATTATTATTATTATTATTATTATTATTATTAATGTGGGGTGTTAGTGCTGAGGATTAAACCCAAGGCCTTGCATATGCTTGGCAAGCACTTTACCAACTGAGTTACGTCACTAGAGTTACATCTATACTCTTTTTGCAGTGTGTCTGTTGGGATATTTTGCCATTTAAAAAGGTAGTCTGTGGGCTGGGGAGACAGTTCATTGCTCTAGCTGAGAGCTGAGAGCTCGGTCTTGGCAAGCACAAGGACCCGAGTTTGATCCCCAGTACCACATGCCGTGTGGTCCTGGAGCCTGAGGTGCACTGTGTTGGCCCCCAAACCAGGCCTGGTGTTGCGCACTTATAATCTCAGCACTGGGGAGTCTGAGACAGAAGGATCAACATGAGTCTGCACTGCGTAGTGAGACCCTGTATCTAATTTTTTTCAAAAGTAGGTTATGTTTTTGTTAGAGGTTTCTAGATGAGTCCTTTGTAAGTTTGTATATTACAGACGACTTCATCTAGTCATTGATTTCAGTCTTTTTCATTTTCTTAATATTGTCCTTTAAGGACAATATTATTTTTATTTACTTATTTTTAATTTTTTTATGTATTTGTTACAGGGTCTCACTATGCAGCTTGGATTTGTAGTAATCCTCCTGTTTTCAGCCTCCTCAGCTCTGGGATTACAGTCGTGCTCCACCACACCCAGACCTGGTCGCTGGCTCAGTGCAACAGAGGATGGGGCTGGTGCGGCATGCAGTATCAGGGATCAAATCCTGGTCCCTGTGCTTGCCTAAGCAGGCACTCAGTCTGCTGAGCCATCTCACTGGCCCTTTTTCTTCTATTTTTATGCTACAAGTTCTGTAGTTTTAGTTTTTGCATTTAGGCCTTTAGCCCATTTAAGGTCATTTTCTGTATGTGGAGAGTTTGTTTTGTTACTTACAGCCACTTTTTCCAGGAACATTTATTGAAAAGACTATTTTTCCAAATGGTTTACAGCTGTATTTTTTAAAATTAAATTACAAAGCAATCAAAGTCAACTGACCAAATACACGTCAGACTCTCTTCCTGAGCCCTCTATTCTACTTGATTAATCTATATGCCTATGCCTATATATGGTGTCTTGCTTACTCTAGGTTACAATACACTTTAAAAAATAAAAAATCACCCTGTAAAAAATCAATTATGGAAGTTGTCCCAATTATTCTTCTTTTCCAAAATTGTTTTGGTTGTTCTGCTCTATTGCATCCATTTGGAACTTGTTTAATTTCTTGAGAAATGTTTTATACTTCAACCATGAATACATAGTCTGTATTATAACAGATCATATATTATATAATAATAAATACATACACACATATGTGTTTATATGTTAAAGGCATTTATGTTGTCTTTCTTTAAAGACTACTGAGTTCCATGTTGAAAGCAGTTAATGTTTTCGTGGACTGACTCATCTTTGGTGGAGTCAGACCTATAATTGCCTTTATTCTTGCCCAGTCAGGTCCTGTTCCTAGGGTGCTGCCTTTCTTGGTGTACTCAATACCCTCGGTGTTTAGCCCTGGTGGACACAATCCAAGTGTCTTCCAGCTCTGGCAGCTCCAGACCTTGTTCTTTTTCTGGCTCCCTGCTGCCTTCTTACCCTCAGCACTGAGCTCTGACTGCCCTTTTGCAGTCATCCCTACACATGTGGAGCTTGTATTCAGCCAAGGATTGAAGGTGTATTAGTCAGCTTTTGATCGCTGTGACCAAAATAGCTGAGAATAGCAATGTAAAGGAGGCAGGGTCTATCTTAGCTCACGGTTTCAGAGGTTCGGTCCATGGGTAACTGGCTCCCCTGCTGTGGGCCTGTGGTGAGAAAACGGTGCAGCTACAAGCATGAAAGAGAAAGGCTGCACATCTCAGAGCAACCAGGTAGCGGAGAGCACAGGGAAAGGCTGGGGACAGATAGAGCCAGAAGAGCACACCTGCATGCTCCACTGCCTTCAACCAGAACCTACCTCCTGCTTCCACCCCTCCTGCTTCCATCACCTCCCGAAAATGCCATCAGGTTCAGATCCCACCCCGTAGGTTAGTTCACTGATCACAGTAAAGCCTGCAGTAATGATCCTCAGTGGGCATTTCATGTTTATACTGTAACACAAAGGAAATCACTCAGCCTACATATTTTTCTCTATGTGGTTTCTTCCCCTCCATGCTCCACCTCGAGCTCCCTAACTCCTACATCACTGTCTTGAGCACAGTGAGACCTCTGCTTTTTATGCAGATTCCCTCTTGCTGTGCTGTGGTGAGAAAATAGCTCTGGTTGTAGAACTCATCTGCTTTGTTTCCTTTCTCTCTGAGCATATAGTCTGTGCAGGTTTTTTTGTTTTTTTGTTGTTTTTTTTTCCGGAACTGGGAATTGAACTCAGGCCTTTGCGCTTGCCAGGGAAGCACTTACTCCACTGAGCCATCTCCCTGGCCCTAGTCTGTGCATCTTAGTGTCTCATGTCTGAACACAATTATTTAATGTGTTTTATATCATTGTTAAAATAAAATTGTGTGGCAAGACTAGCCATTGTGTGGCAATGGCTAGCTGGTACTACTTACATGGATGGAAGTAGAAGAGCTGTCAAGCTCTCTTAACCTAAAAAAACAGGGCTTAGCAAATTCTTTTGTTATGTATCCAAGTAGTAAATAGTTTAGGTTTTCAGGCAATCCTATTCTGTTATAATCTCTCAACTATTACATGATACTACAAATGAGCGTGACTATATTTAAATAAAACTTTATTTACAAAACAGGCAAGCAACCTGAAGTGCAAGATCAGTTCTTGATCAAGAATGATACCCCTACCCTTCTTTCTCCCATGACATTGACTTGGTCAACACTCCAGGCCAGTATTGTGCTTAACCAAACATAAGAGATGGCTGGAAAATACCCACCCTAGAAGTTTAGAGCTCAAAATGCCAGCCCCAGTCAGATATCCTTGACTTATCCACTTTACAGAGTAGCCGCTGAGTAAGAGAATAGTGATAGCAGGTAAGGCAAGGACATATGACTGGGGCTGGCATTTTTGATCTCTAATTTTCAAGGCTAGTTATTTTTCTCCCAGCCTATTTTTTTTTTTCTTCTTCTTCTTTTGATTGTACCAAGGATCAAAATCAGGACCTTAGATGCTTATGCCACTGAGCTATATTCCCAATTCTCAAGATCTGATTTTCATGAAGCCTCTAAACTTAATTAATAATTTGTAGAAAATACTAGAGTAAAGAGTATTTTATGTGATATCTTCAGAAAATAATTCAATGAATTCAGAATTTAGGGCAATCAAGGAGACTCTACCTCTTTTCCTCAAAAGAAGACTTAGAAAATAACCAGCCTTGAGAGTTGGGAATATAGCTCAGTGGCAGGAATTCAAAAGATAAATTTGGATAATGCACTCTACTGATGACACTACAAGGAAGTAGGACCTTGTGTACACTGTTAATGGGAATGGGAAAGAAAGCTTGTGGAGCCAAGTTTGACAGCATCTCACAAAAGTACGTTTATATTTAAATTTGAAAGCAGCAATGACTCTCCCGGAAATTTGCACTGAAGAGACACCTTCACAAAACAAAAGCAAAATGAACATGAGATGATTCATCCTGACATTTTTTGTAATATTAAAAGATTAGAAACAACTTCCAGATGGGGCATGGTGGCGTGCCTGTAATCCTAGCACAGGCGGATCACTATGAGTCTGATCTAGTAGTGAGACCCTGAACACCTTGTAGACCCTTCCCTAAAATAGAAAGAAGGAGGAGGAGGAGGAGGAG